TGACTCGTGATATTGTAGTATGAGATACTCTTAACCTCAAGCCTATTTCACGAAAACTTACTACAATTTAATAAAATCACATTGTGCTTTGAACGTACTTTTCTTTTTTGATAATAAATCTATTTGGAAATATTAATAAGATATAGTGTTTGCTTTTAATAAATTCCACAGAGTGTGCAAAATAAGATGAAAAAAAAACTTTATTTTTACACCCCGTATATGGGTAAAACGTTGACACTTCCCAGAAAACAGTAATACAGTAATTATTTAGAAATAGATCTATAATGCAAAAAAAGTCATTGAAATCCAATTAAAGATTCAAAAGAAAAATGGTTTAAAATTTATGGTAGAGTTGAGGTGGTGCGTTAATTTTGGAGAGAAGAAAATCACGTAATGCTTTGAACGTCTTCTTCTTCTTAACGTGCCCTATCAAGTCCCCTTGACGTTGGCGATTAACATGGCGAAACTGTCTCTGTCTCGAGCTATTCTAAATAGTTGCTCAGCTTTCTTTATTCCTGTCCACTCCCTGATATTCTTCAACCAAGAGGCCTGCTTTCTACCAATTCCTCTGCGTCCTTCGATTTTACCCATCATAATAAGTTGAAGAATATTATATCGGTCTCCCCTTACTACGTGTCCAAAATAGGCCATCTTTCTACATTTGATGTTATCAAGCAGCTCGCGAGCAGCATTTGCTCTCTCAAGGACTGCCACATTTGTCAGCATAGCCGTCCATGGAATTTTTAGTATACGTCTGTGCAGCCACATTTCAAAGGCCTCCAGACGATTAATGGTGGATATTTTTAATGTCCATGCTTCGACACCGTATAAGAGGACTGACCAAATGTAGCATTTAACCATGCGCTTTCGAAGTTGAAGTTGCAAGTTATCATTACAGAAGAATGACCTCATTTTTAAAAATGTCGTGCGGGCTATCTCGATTCTACATTTTATCTCTTGATCTGGATCTAGTTGTTCAGTAATATGGCAACCAAGGCCAACCATGGCTTTGAACGTACTTTTCTTTTTTTGATGATAGAAATATCGAGATAATTTTTTTACGAAAATATTGAGAAAGGACAAATATGCCGAAATATTAATAAGATGTAGCGTTTGTTTCTAATACATTCTACAGGCTGTTCCAAAATTAGATGAAAAAACACCACTTTATTTTTACATCCCGTATATAGGTAACACGTTAACATTTCTCAAAAAACATTAATATAGTAATTATACGAGAAATATATCTACAATGTAAAACAAAAATGGTCGAAATCCAACTAAGGGTTCAGGAGAAATATAGTTTCAAAATCATGGTTCATTTTAGGTGGTGGGTTAATTTTGGAGAGTAGTATATTTATCATAATATTTTTTAGTTCCACTGCTGATGGATGTCCAGGACAATTATCTAACAATAAAAGTATCCTTAGAAGCAAATTAAGTGAGAAATACGGCGACGGACTGCGGACTTCGCTTTTAAACCACTAAAAAAACAAGTCTTTTGTAACCAAGCATTTTCTTGTGCACGATAACAAACAGGAAGATGTTGATTTAAATGCCCGTGGGTTTTTTGATTTTCCGACGACAACCAATTAAAGTTTATGGGTTCCAGCGGCATTTGACAAGGCATGAAAATCACTCTCATCTTCATCATTTTGTTATTGGCAGAGGCTAAACTATGATCGGGTAATAATCGTCAGTACAAACTAAATTCCTCAGAATTGCATACTTGTTCTCCCCGACATCAATCTAATACAAGTCTATGCACCTACAACAGAAGGAACAGAAGAAGAGATAGGAGAACTATACCATAACATTATTCAAGTCCTGAAAAGGTTGAAAAAGTAAGACCTAACAATTGTCATGGGTGACTTCAACGCCAAAGTTGGGGCCAGCAAAACATCATCTGCAGTTGGACCATTTGGTCTAGGAAACCATAACGATCGGGGAGATACGTTGAAGATTTTTGCGAAAGCAAATCATCATCATCATCATCATTCAGCCCATACTCGTCCACTGCTGAACATAGGCCTCCCGTAGTTCACCCCACAAATTTCTGTCCTGAGCCGCCTGCATCCAATTTTGATGTGTCCGTTTTAGGTCATCCGTCCATCTTGTTGGTGGTCGTCCTCTATTCCTAAAGGCATCTTGTCTGGGTCTCCACTCAAGAATGCGTTTTGTCCATCTGCCGTCCTTCGTTCTCGCGACGTGCCCTGCCCAGTTCCATTTTAAGGTTGATATTCTTGTTTGCTCTATTCGAAAGCAAATGAATTGGTAATATTGAACACCTGGTTTAAGCTACACCCAAGGAAACTGTACACCTGGAAATCTCCACAGGACCCTGTGGGAAGGATTGTAAGAAATCAGATTGATTACATGCTAGTAAATAGGAGGTATATGAACAGCTGTACATATGTCAAAACATACCCGGGGGCAGACATAAATTCCGATCATGTACCAGTTGTAGGTAATTTCAAAGTCAGAATGAAGAAGGTTACAAGTAAGTCGATGAAAAAATATGATGTTAGAAAACTGAAAGATCTCAATGTTCGACTGAAGTGAGTGAAAACTAATACAAGGTGCTAAATGCAAAATGCAGGAACTATAGAGGAAAGTCTGACCATCATACAAGAAACAGTGAGAGAGATAAAAGAACAACACCTGAAGAAAGATACAGAGAAACGGAAATCGTGGATGACCGATGAAATACTTGAACTCATGGATCAGAGAAAAAAAACAAAGAAAATCTCCAAGAATATAAGAGAATACATACCATCATCAGAAGAAAAATAAGAGAAGCCAAAGAGAAACAAAAAACAGAACAATGTCAAGAAATAGAGAGTATCAGAGTCGATATGATAACTTCAATGTTCATCGAAAGGTGAAGGAAATAGCTGGAAAGTTCCGAAAACGCAACAGCGGAAAAATAACAGATGATGAAGGCAATCTTGCCATAACCAGAGAAGATAAAAAGAAAGTATGGGAAGAATACTTGGAGAAGCTTTTCCATGACCTTAGAACAATACAAGAGCCCACCATTGAAGAAAATTCAGGTCCCGAAATCCTACCAGAAGAAATAACGGCAGCCGTCAGACAAATGAAGGATGGAAAGGCACCGGGACTTGATGAAATTCCTGCAGAACTGTTAAAGCTATTAGAAGAAGAACAAATAAAAATAATAACTGAAATATTTAATGAAATATACAATGCAGGAAAAATACCAGTAGAGTGGCTCAAATCGGAGTTCGTACCATTGCCCAAAAAACCAGGAGCAAAAGTTTGTGAAGATTATAGGACCATAAGCCTAATGAGCCATCTGCTGAAGCTGTTTTTAAAAGTCATCCACAAAAGAATTTACCGGAAATGCGAGGAACAAATTGCGCCCAATCAGTTTGGATTTGTGAACGCCGTTGGTACGAGGGAAGCTTTATTTAGCGTGCAGTATTGTTTTAGAAATGTAGAGATGTCAGCTGTAATGTTTTTGCATGCCTGATTGACTACAAGAAGGCTTTCGATAGAGTCAGAGCATGAACAAATGATGGAAGTGCTGAAGAGGACAGGGATTGACGGAAAAGACTTAAAAATAATAGCTAACCTGTATTGGAATCAATCAGCGGTACTCCGAATAGATGGAGAATATACAGATCAGGTCAAAATCTTAAGGGAAGTGAGACAGGGGTGCATAATTTCACCACTGATATTTAATCTGTACTCGGAGCACATTTTTGAAGAGGCTCTAAAAGATATTGATGAAGGCATCTCAATAAATGGAGTCAAGCTCAATAACCTGCGGTATGCAGATGATACAATAGTGTTTTTCAATACCATAGAAGGCTGCAAACTTAATGAACAAAATAACGGAAACAAGTAGAAAATATGGACTGGATATAAACACCAGCAAAACCAAGCTAATGATCATCAGCAAGGAAAACATAACTGGAGCAAATCTGTATGTGAACCAAATGAGAATTGAACGTGTCTCACAATACAACTACTTGGGAACTATAATCAATGAGTCTGGGACAATACCCAAGAGATTAAATGTCGCATCGGAAAGGCAAAAAGTGCATTCTTGACTATGAGCTCTGTGTTCAAGAGCCATGACCTCACCCTAGAAACAAAAATAAGGCTCCTTAAATGTTATGTGTACTCAGTGCTTCTGTACGGAGTAGAAACGTGGACATTGAAGGCGGAAACTCTATTAAAACTTCAGGCTTTTGAGCTATGGTTATACAGAAGGATCCTGAAGATACCATGGACAGACAAAGTCACCAATGAAGAAGTACTGCGGAGGATGAACACAACTGCGGATTTGGTCAACATCGTGAAGGGCCGTAAGCTGCAGTACTTGGAATATATAATGAGAAATCAAGGCAGATACGAGCTACTTCAATGCATTTTGCAAGGTAAAATTGAAGGAAAAAGGGCCCCAGGACGAAGAAGAATATCCTGGCTTGTTAACCTGAGAGCATGGTATAGAAAGACCACAACACAGCTATTTCGTATAGCAACCAACAAAGTCATCATAGCCAGAATGATCGCCAAGTTCGGAACGGGCAGGCACCCTAAGAAGAAGAAGTTGGAACATTCGCATTCATTATGGGATAGTTTTTTACCGGCCTTTAAGGTCGATGTTGGAGTTTGTAATCTGGCGATGAAAAATACAAGCTTTTTCATAACTCATATCACTACTTACAGGAACATATAATTCGATTATTTTACGAGGGAATGGCCGTTAGGTATACAAAAAGTCAAAACTGACCATAATTTGTTATTTTCATTTTTAAAATGTTTCATAATATTTATCGAGGATTTGATTCAAAATATTATGATATTGTAAAGAGAATAGTGAAAACAGCAATTTTATTGATTAATATTAACCTTTGCACTACTCTACAGTACTTAAACTAAACCTTTTTTTTTCATTGCAGCTTGGAGCAATAGAGGGACAAATAGCAATTCACAAAAAACAAAAAATTTCTTTGAGTCCACAAAATATAATGGACTGCCATCCTACCGGTGACCTGACTGGATACTTCGAGAACGCATACCAATTTGTTAAAGACCATGGTATCAGTTCCGAAGCGGATTATCCGTTCGTTGCCAAAAAGGGGACGTGTAAAAAAGATATACCAAAAGTGATAACTACTCTTTCAGGATACAAAGGAATAAAACAATCTGAAAATGATTTAATTTCAGCTCTCGGTAAGTACTGTAAACGCTTTATCTGCAATATATATATATATATATATATATAATATATATATATATATATTATATATATATATATATATATATATATATATATATATATATATATATATACTCCAAAACTTTGGAATATTGGAATATTTCATCTTTTTATTGATTTTTATATATAAACTCTTCTGAATATTTAAACATCATTTTGTTTTAATTCTCAACAAGACTAAATAAATCTCAAAACTAGATAAACGATAAGCAAAAAAATTATTTATTCTCTTGGAGTGAAAAACTTACAATGTACAACTTTGTAACGAAAATATTTTGCCTACCACAGGGGGCATTAATACGGGAGATAGAAAATTGGTGGAAAAAACTATTGGGAGTGGAGATAGGGCAAGCAAAATAATCGCTACTGATGCGAACGGCACTCAGGGTTTCGTAGGAGAGCTGGGGTCGTGGATAAGTAAAAGATAAGGGCATTGGAATGGGGCAACTACAAAAAAATGAAATAAAGGGCTCTTGGGATAAACAAAATAAAAATAAACAAGAAACACCTCAAGGAATTTAATATAGGGCGCCACTTGAGGTGCCTAATTATGCCTATTACAACCACTAGTTGTAACTAGGGAAATAATTAGAAAACAAAATCAAAACATAAAAAACATATCTTTTTCAAATAAACTCAAAAAGGGTTGGCTCAAAAAAATAAATAAAAAGTTAAGACAACAAAATTTAACTTTTATTTATGTGTCACCACAAACAGTTACATGGAGAAATACAAAATTCAAAAACTTACATGTGTCATCCATTAACAAACTCCATTGCTACAAAACTTACAAAATTGCATGGAGGTTAACCTTTAAAAAAAAACAAAACAAATCAACATCAAAAATACTAAAACGAGCTGTCATAAATTAACATTAAATTTCAAAAAAAAACTAAACACAAATTGACAGCTTTACTCAAAACCTAAAATTTACAATTTTAAATGTCAACGAAAGCAATTATTATTTTATAAAAAAATGTCTGTCTTTAATTTAAAATTTGAACAAAATGTTACCTTAATTCACATGATCACACTTAAGTTTCTGAAACCATAACTGGAACCTGGAACTGAGGGCTCCACTCTCTCTGCATCACGAAAACCTCCATCTCCAAACTGCCAAAAGCCTTGGATAAAAGCAGGAACAAAAAAAAACAAAACGAGGATGTCCTCCAATCCTCACTCAAAACATTAATAATTGAAGCATTTACTGCCACAAAACCAATAACAAACTGCTACATATTCTTCATAACAAAAGACGAAAACAGAATACTTTACAAATTCGACGTGAATTTGGACATAACGCTGAACCGCTCTTGAAAGCTGCTCCAACGAGAGTGACGAAATTATCTATTAAAATTGATCGCATAACTTGAACATAAACAAACAACGAAATAAAACGTAGATATCTTTTGCGACGCATAAACTTAAAAAGAATTTGCCGAAGTAAAATAAATAAACAACTCTAAAATGGTTTATTTCAACTTGGCCGACCTAAGAAAGAAATGAAAAGATATTTGGGTTTAAATACGTACGAAATATTTTTAGATCTATCAAAAATATATAAGGTGATTTTAATATTTCGTATACGAGGGGACTTCAATATACTTAAAAGAATCAATGAAATTTAAAATGCTACAATTTACATTTAAAAATAAATTAGTATAGAAAAAAATAAATTTTTAATAAAACTAATAATTAGTATTTCTGAATACATATAGTTATTGAATGTATTCAATAACTTGAATACATTCTGGAATCGACCAAAAAAGAAGAGGTCACCGTAATCATGGGCGACTTCAACGCTAAAGTTGGTAAGGTGAAAACTGATGGATGCACTGGTGAATTTGGACTTGGACAACGAAACGACCGACGTGAACGTCTCGTACAATTTTGCCAAGAAAAAGAATTTGTAGTAATGAACACAATGTTCAGATTACCAAACCGTAGATTGTACACGTGGACATCACCAAGGGATAATGCAGACAACATCGTCAGGAATCAAATCGATTATATACTAATCAGAAGCCGGTTTAAAAACTCCATCACGTCTACAAAAACCTATCCAGGCACTGATATAGAATCGGATCACAATCCGGTGGTGGCTGTAGTAAATATAAGATTCAAGAAACTACAGAAAAGTGCAGCTAAACAAAAGATAGACGTTAAGCAACTGAAAAACGCAACTATACTGGAAAGGACAAGAGAACAGGTAAACAACAATCTTAGAAACATCGCTGCAAAAAATAGGAACACAGGCAATGTAGAGAATAAATGGATGGAGATAGAAAAGGCCCTTATGACAGCTGGTGAAGGCTCCTTAGCTCCAAGCAAAATTAAGAAAAAGGAATGGATGACAAACGAAATTTTGCATCTCATGGAGGAAAGGCGAAGAAATAAAACCAACAAGACAAAATACAAAGAAGTGAACCGTGAAATTAAGAGAAAAATTAGAGAAGCCAAAGAGAACTGGGTTCTGGACAACTGCAAGGAAATAGAAGAATATGATAGAAAGTACGATAGCTTTAACATGCATAAAAAGATCAAGGAAATAACAGGTAAAAAAGTGAAACAAGCATCCATCGTAAAGGACAAAAAAGGTAAAATAATTACAGATTTAAATGAAAAACTGGCAAGATGGACAGAATACATTGAAGAACTTTTTGCAGACGAAAGACCAGAAATAGCAGTGGCAGAACCTACAGACGACACAACAGGGCCTGAAATCCTAAAAAGCGAGGTAGAATATGCTATAAGGAACACAAAAGGGGGTAAAGCTGCAGGACCAGATGAAATTCCTGTAGAATTGTTGAAACTTATAGACGACGACGCACTTGAAATAATGGTGAACCTCTTTAACACAATTTATAGAACAGGCATCATACCAAAGAAATGGCTCTCCTCTACTTTTGTCACAATCCCGAAGACGAATAACGCCAGAGAGTGTTCAGACCACAGAACTATAGCATTGATGAGCCACACACTAAAAGTATTTTTAAAAATAATTCACAAAAGAATATTTAATAAATTAGAAGAGGACATAAGCGCCACACAGTTTGGATTCAGAGGTGGACTGGGAACACGGGAAGCTTTGTTTGGTCTGAGTGTGTTAATGCAAAGATGTTTGGATGTAAACCAAGACCTCTACGTAGGTTTCATAGATTTTGAGAAGGCCTTCGATAAAGTCAGACACCAAAAGCTGTATGAAATCCTAAGAAGCAAAAACATCGACAGTCGCGACATTAACATCATATCCAGGTTGTACTGGGGACAAACAGCAAAAATCAAAGTTGATAATGAGTTAACCGAAGAAATTGAGATTCGTCGAGGTGTGCGTCAGGGTTGTGTGCTTTCTCCACTATTATTCAATATATATATATATATATATATATATATATATATATATATATATATATATATATATATCGAAACAATATGTCAGGACACAAAACATTGATATGGACATTAACGGTGAGTTAGTTAACAATATAAGATACGCTGATGACACGCTAATAGTAACAGATAGCCTAGCAAAGTTACAGTTTACATGACTGTAATACAATAGACCATACAATAAGTATGGTCTAAAACTGAACATCAAAAAGACTAAATTCATGATTGTAACAAAGAAGCTATACACCAATGTGAATTTAACCATAAATAATCAGCCAGTTGAAAGAGTTACGTCCTACAAATATTTAGGGTTTGCTTCACTGATACTAATGACCAGACAAGAGAAATCAAGATCATTTGTCAAAATGAAAAAGTTCCTATGCAGCCGGGACATAAATATAAACTTAAGAACGAGAATGTTAAGATGCTATGTTTTCTTCGTTCTGCTGTACGGCATGGAACCCTGGACACTGAAAAAGATAAACATCAAAAACATTGAGGCATTCGAAATGTGGTGTTATAGGAGAATGTGGAAAATACTATGGACAGAAAGAGTAACAAATCAAGATGTTCTACTGAAGATGGGAAATGAATGCGAGGTCATAAAAACCATACAAACCAAAAAACTGGAATATCTGGGCCACATAATGAGAGGAGAAAAGTACTCTCTGCTTAGACTCATAATCCAAGGAAAAATCTCGGGAAAGAGAAATGTGGGGCGTAGGAGGATTTCCTGATTGCGAAACTTAAGGGAGTGGTATGGGTGCAGTTCAATACAGTTATTCAGAGCTGCAGCCAACAAAGTAAAGATTGCTGTGATGGTAGCCAACCTCCGATAGGAGACTGCAAGAAGAAGATGTTCGCATAATTCAATCAGATGTTCTCCGTTATCGTTTTGTTCAGTTTTTGTTTAATTATCATTAATGTGTCTTCAGATTTGTAATTTTTTAAACCAGGAAAAACTTACCATTTTATCTATATTATATTTTTATTTTGCATAACAATCAGGATTATATTAATAATTTAAAATATTTTCCTTTTAGCTAACATTGGTCCGGTCGCTGTCGCTGTTTCTACAGAACACTGGATACCATATAAAGGGGGTGTTTTTAATAAGACAGATTGTGCTACAGAATTCACTACTCATGCTGTACTCGCTGTAGGATATACTGAAGATTACATTACCATCAAAAATACTTGGGGACCAGGTTGGGGAGACAAAGGATTTATGCATATCGCTAGAGGACAGAATATATGTCGAATTAATGATAGAGGTGCATATCCAATTTTATAAATTTAATTTTCTGATGCAAATTTAACCATTCCAATATCGACTACCGGAAAATTGGAATGATTTAAAAAATAAATAAACTTAACTGTAAACAATATCAATATATTAATTGTAATATCCTGGTAAACCTGCCAGGGTATAAGGATGAATAAATAAGAATGTTTTATTCCAGGTCTTTTATTGTGATACTTTATAATCTGACACCCTCATGTTGACTGCCCTAACATGACAGGTGATGTCCCCACGAGGCTCCTGTCATGTTGGTTGCCTAACAATGGCACCACATATATTACATCCTCCCTCTTATAGATTTAAGCGTTCAGGGGGTTTTACAGAGCGACCCGACCTAGTAGTTTTAAGCGATGGTTCATAGACTGGCTCCACAAGAGGCAATCCATGAACACTATCTCTTTGGTTTCTACAGGACTCTCTTTGCTCAGTGGGCAAGATATTCACTTCACACTGGGGCGGGTCACTTGAATCAGGATTGAACAGACTACATTGTATATTATCATGTCCAGAAGCTGTTTTGAACACATTTAATGATTCTCTTAAATCTACTCTGTTGCGTCTGACTGTGTCTCCATTTTCATTTAAAACCATATAAGACCTTGGTGTCCCATGTTGGCTAACTATTTGACCTGGTTCCCACTTCTTCTGAACATGATTGTATACTGTAACATCAGTATTATTTGTTAACGGTGGTAATTCTTTGGCACTTCTATTATAATACTTATTATATGTATTGCGCCTATGTTGCAGCTTCTCAAGCACATTTTCACATAACTTAGGTTGCAATAACTCTGAACTAATAGGTATTTTAGTTTTACAAATCCGGCTCATTAACAATTGAGACGGGGAGTAACCAATATGCTTGAGAGGTGTATTACGGTATTGCAGCAATGAGATTTCAATATCACCTTCTTTTACTGATTTCTTAATTATATTTTTTGCTATTCCTACTCCTTTCTCAGCGAGGCCATTGGAGCGTGGATAATTCGGGCTTCTAGTGATGATTTTGAAATTCCATTCTCTCGCAAAATTTTTACAATACAAACTATCAAATGGTATATTATCACATGTTATACAATCTGGTGAACCAAACACAGAGAACACTCTTCTTAATACCCCAATAACAGCTTTGGAAGATTTATTCTTTATCAAATGCAGGTCCAACCAATTTGAAAATGAATCAAATATAACTAGGTAGCTATTTCCAGCATATGTAAAAATATCTAGGCCTAGGCGTTCCCAAGGGCGCTCAGCAATTGGGTACAGTTGCAGAGTTTCCTTCTGTTGCTTGTGTGCATTCGACTCACATGTTCTGCATGCATTGATGTGATGTTCAATGTCAGAATTAATACCTGGCCAATATAATATCTGTCTCGCACGAGCTTTGCTTTTTTCAATGCCAATGTGACCCTCATGCAGCAATTTCAACATTTCTAAACGCAGTGACTGGGGCACTATGACCTTATCAGACATCAATAATAGTCCATCTATAGAGATAAGGCTCTCTTTCACTTTGAAATAATGTCGTATCGACTCTGGTACTTCCTGTTTGCTCTCTGGCCATCCATTAATGCAGAACTCAATTACTGCTTTTAGATGTTCATCTTTCTGTGTCTCATTTGCAAACTGTACTTTCCTTTCTTCAGACATGGGTATATTTTTGACTACTGCATGCACCGCATATTCAAATTCATTGTCACTTTTGAATCCTTTTTCTGAGAGGAATGCACGAGAAAGTGTGTCCGCAATATATAAATATTTTCCAGGTCTGTATGAGACCATTAAATCATAGTCAAGCAATCTTAAACGCATTCTTTGTAATCTTGGAGATATCCGTGCTAAATCCTTTTTAAATATGACTTCTAGTGGTTTGTGATCAGAGTGAACTTTGACCTTCTGTCCGTATACAAAATAATGAAATTTTTGAATGGCAAAGACAATCGCTAGCATTTCTTTTTCAATTTGGGCATATTTTTGCTCTGTTTTAGATAAGCTTCTAGATGCAAATGCCACTGGATGCCCATCTTGCAACAAACATGCACCCAGTCCATCCTTTGAAGCATCAGTTTCAATTTCAATTTCTTTTTTAGAGTTAAAATATCTCAGTACTGGTGATGTCGTCAATAAGTGTTTAAGCTGGAACAGAGACTGTTCATGGATGTTATCCCATTCCCATGTAACATCAAGCCTTGTGAGATCACGTAATGGGGCTGTTACCTTTGACATGTTGGGCACAAACTTACCCAAGTACTTCGCCATGCCTAAAATTCTCAATAATCCTTTTTTATCACTAGGCCTAGGCAATTCTGAAATTGCTCTAACATAGTTTTTGTTGGATTCAACTCCACTTTTTGAATAAATTTGTCCCAAAAACTTTACTGATTTTAGTTTAAATTGAACTTTAGAGCTATTAAATTTAATATTGTATTCTAGTGCTCGTTCTAGGACCAATTTTAGGTTCTGATCATGCTCTTGTTCATTTGAGCCTGTCACAATAAGATCATCGAAGTATAGTCCCACTCCGTCTAAATCTCCAAATATTTCAAAGTTTTTCCTCTGAAAAACTTCTGGTGCTGAGCAAATCCCAAAGGGTAATCTAAGAAATCGGTACCGCCCAAATGGGGTTCCAAAAGCAGTGTAATCAGCACTTTGACCATCTAACCTGACTTGAAAATAGCCATCTTTCATATCTAAGACAGTGAAGTATTCTTTGTCACACAACTTGACTGCAATTTCTTCCGCTGTAGGTATTAAAAAGTGTTCTCGTTGTATCGCATTATTTAAACGTTGAGGATCCAGACACAACCTTAAATCGCCATTTTTCTTTTCAACTATTACTAATGGGTTCAGCCACTCAGTTGGTTTTTCTATTTTTTCAATGACACCTTGATCTTCAAGTTGTTTTAATTTATGTCTGAGTCTATCATGAAGTGATATAGGTACCCTCCTGGGGGGCTGAACATACGGTTTAGCATTGCTTTTTAAGGTTATGTGGTACTCAGTAGGAAATTCTCCTAAACCATCAAAAACTGAATTATACTGCTTTTTTACGTTATCTAATGAACTAAAAACAACATCCACACCCTGTCCTACATGAGCTAACCGTTCTATTAATTTTAATTCTAAACACCCTTGTAGCCCTAATAAGGGTATTTGATTATCTAAATCAACAACAATAAATTTAATCATACTTTCACACTTATTAGCTTTGCATAATAACTTAATCTCTCCACAAGGTTTAATTTTGAAATCTGGACTACCATAAGATAACAGGGTTACTGATGTTCTCTTTAGTTTATTTTCTAATTTCAGGTTTTTTAAAACATAATATGGCAAAACACTTACTTCAGCACCTGTATCTAGTTTAAATTCTACATGACTGCGTCCTATGTTTATCTTTTGCTTCCAAACACTTTCACTTTTTCTACATGTTGAACCTACTGAATCTATTACATTTATTGAACTTAGGAAATGTACATCACATACACTATCACTATCTTCTTCCTCTACCACGTGCACATTTTTTTGTTTCCAGCTTCTATTCTTTTCTTTCTTCTTTTCATCATGTTTACATACTGCAGCAAAGTGATTTGGCTTTTGGCATTTGGCACAACTTTTACCTGTGGCTGGGCAATTTGCATTTTTCTTGTGTTTGTATCCACATCTATGGCAACTGCTCTGGTTCAAGTTAGGTGTTGAGGACGATGATGGCTTACTTCTTAATGCATTAACCCCTAGTTCATTTTGAATAGCTTTGGATTGTGATTTACTGACCTCAACTGTCCTACAGAATTCAATAGCCTTTGTTAATGTTAGCTTTGGTTCTCTTAATAGTTTTTCTTGGGTATTTTTGTCCCATATACTCATTACTATTCTATCTCTTACCATTTCATCTTGGTCTTGGTAACTAGTAGTTTTTACTGCCTTTCTCAGCTCTGTGAGAAAGTTGTCAAATGTTTGGCCTTCAGCTTGCATTACACTATTGAACTTAAATCGTTCAAATATTAAATTAGCAGTCGGCGAGCAGTAATCTTCGAATTTCTTTATGATTGATTCTAGTTTCTTATTTTCCTCTTCTGTGTATGTAAAGCTATTGTGAAGATCCAGTCCTTCATCACCCACAAGGTTCAAGAATACGGCTATCTTCTGTGCTTCTGGCTTATCCAGCAATCCTGTGGCTGTCAGGAATAACTCAAACTTTTGTGAAAATCTTTTCCAGTTTTCCGCTATATTTCCATCTAGGTTCAACGGTTCAGGAGGTCTACACAAATTCTCCATATTAGTCACAAAATATCATCAGAAAACGTGTAAAACTCGTAGACTATTTAGCCCGAATAAACACCTATAGTTGCCTAACAATGGCACCACATATATTACATTAATAACATGTGTAAGTAAATATTATATTTATTAATAACTTGTTTCTGTCTTATTAAGTGCACTTTACGGATACAAAGCTTGGAATTCTTGCCAAGAGGTCCAGTTTACAAGAACTGATAAAGTTGAATATTTGTAGGTATATATTACGAGGATATTCACTGCCCTCATAAGAATTTGAAAAATAGCTATCGACGTTTTCATCGTTCTTGGCGTGTGCGTGTAAAAACACTTGCAATAAGTTGTTTCATCTGTCTTTCCTTGTCTAAGCTCGATTCGTTTACCTCCTCCAGTGGCAGCTATCTGTATTAGTAAAGAGGCCGAACTTATCACCGACACCGTATCGGCCAAACGCATCGGTGTTATTGCTACAATACTGGGAGACGTGAGTGGTCTCTTCATTCCCTTCTCATCGCACTTTACCATGACGAACGTGACTCGCACAATTGAATTACGCATCTGTGTATCAGAGAGAGACGAATATTAAAAATTCCGTAGTAGCTTATTTCAGGCACACGCCAAGAACGATGAAACCGAGTTTAAAATATTGCAATAACATCCTATTTGCTAGCAATACTTGACTAAGCGTTTATGTACAAAGATACAAACTATAA